TGCCTGGTCATAAAATATTCAGTACAAAATGAAAGAAATCGAACTCTGGTCTAGATGAAATTCTTGGGATAAGAGGCCAAATTGTGCTGACTGAATACAGTTCAGGAACATAAAACGCTGTATCATTCAGAGAGAATATAGCAACTTATGTAACTTGCACAAAGTGCAGCTTTAATGTTTCTGATGTCACAGCACATTTGAACTCATGTTCTGTTGGTATCTTAGTGATTTGCGGGTTCTTCAATTATGGATGCATACAAAATCTCCTGAAAATGTGGCTAGCACGAGTCTCGGGTCATTTATTTCGGGCTGCTTGAGTAGGACATAAAATGGATCTAATGTAAAAAGGAGACAAAGCCTACTTTTAAAACCTCTGAAGCAAAGTGTGCTTTATTCATTCATTTATTCATGGTTATGAAATACTGATTTGACCTACAGAATAACCTGCTGACCTCCAGGATGCATTTAGAAAAATTAATGCAAAAAAGAACAGCAGCTAGAGTGATGCAAGTCCTATAACTATGTCCAATTTATGCTTCTTGTGCAAGCAGGCACCTTTGAAGGGGAATTCCACTGATTTTTTTTTTTCAGCAATTTCTGTAAAATGAAGTGGTTAAGATGTAGAAAGTGTCATTCAGAGTGGTTTGATGTGAAATGCTCTGTTTTAGAATGCCGCAGCAGTGGTGATAGGAACCATCTGGACAGTATAATGGCTCTAAAGCTCCCTCATATAAGTTATGTCATGAAATGGTCACAAAAGCCTTGCCTGAGATCTGAAGTATGTGCTGAGGTGCACTATAAGAGAAAAAAGTCTCCAAAGAAAACTTAATTTTTCAGATTTACCACAATTTTATCATTATAAACCGAATTACACACACTCACAAAGTAGCTAGTTTACATGCATTACATAGGAGATTTTTGATAACACTTTACTGTAGGGCAGCGTTCATAAGGCTACATGAGACCTCCATAAGCTTGTCATGACAACTGACATAAACACAAACATTTATAACCAATTTTTCCAAAAAGCATCGTCTGTCATAAAGGCTACTTTTGTCAACTTTGATATCAAGCTGACATAACACCTATGCAGGTGACATAATTTTCTGCTGACATTGGGTTGTATCATGACACTTTTTGGGGTGAAATGATATAGTATAACACCCGAGTATGTAACTTAGTGTATATTACAGTGACACAATGCTGATGATGTGACATAGCTTAAGTCTCATTAATTGTTAAATTAAACTCACTTTATAAGGGCCCAGAAAATGCTTACTTTCAACCAGCCTGAGGTGTCAAGCTGTGGCATATTATCAGTATTGCGTCACTGTGACTACACTGAGATAGAAAGTCTATATCATCATATACAGTGGGGTTCACAAGTCTGAGACCACTTTGAAAATGTTGGATTGTTTTCATTTAATCATGCTATTAAACAGAAAATCTGAAGCAAAAAAAAGTTCTGACAAGTAAAAGGAAGAAGAAATATTCAGGATTATGTACTATTTCTAGGTCACTACTCAAATGTAAGCAAATTTATAACACTATCCACATTAGGGCCTTTGTACAAAAAGGTCAGATTGTTTTAGTCTTATTCTTTCTATTGGAGCTATGGTGAAGTGGATCATCTCATCAGAGGCTTTTGTCACTGTTAGTGATCAGAGTCCGTCCCAGCTTGCGTGCACACTGTCATTAAAAGAAGGGGGACGCTGAGAAATTCTGAAATTCATGTAAACATTTCAAAGACTCTACTGTTCACTCAGATTGTTATATTCATAATATAATTTGTAATGAAAAACTATGTATTAAATTACAGAGGAATGCAAAACTAAAGCATTTTCTTTGGTCGTCTCAGACTTTTGGACACCACTGTATGTCATGACACAACCTCACCTGACAGATGTTATGTCATCTCGGCATCTAAGTTAGCAAATGCAAACTTTATGCCAAATGGTGCTTATTGGAATGAGCTTATAGATGTTTTTATGTAGGCTCTTATCAGTTGTTATAATGAGCTTATGCAGGTGTCATGTAGCCTTATGAGCACTGCTCTACAGTAAAGCATCGCCAGACTTTTTTATGTATAGGTGTATACTCAGAGGGCTCTGTTTTAACTGGCATTCTTGTACCCTATATAGTTGTAAGCTATTACATTCTACTAAAAGCACTAATTTGTGTAAACCTAACAGTTCTCCAATACTCAGTGCAGTTAAACGGCTACCGTTAGTACTCACTTCACCATCATCGTTGTTGTCCTTCCACTTTACAAGTGACTGACATGGCTAATGAGATGGTAAGCTTGTTGGCCATTAGCTAACGAGGCCTATAATCAAGGCGGTGCAACACGTTTAACTGTGTTCTAAGTTAGCTGAGATTTAAAGTACCACGTGATATGGCTACTTGTGAGTACCCGTTTTGAAAAACCACTTATGGCTCAACGCGGGGGTCATCAGTCTTACCTGCAATGGGACGGTGTGACTGCAGGTTTTCATTCCAACAAAGTAGCAGCACATCACATACAACTAATCAGTTGCTTCAAGACTGAGATCAACTGATAACTGATTAAACAAGTAGAATCAGGTGTGCATCTGCTTAACTGGAATGAAAACTTGCAGCCACAGCCTACAGCCAAACAAACTGTTCTTTTGAACTGCTACATTTCAATAAATGAGTCTACTTATTCACAAGTCCCATGTTTTTGACAGCATCCACTTACATTTCACTCACATTTTCTACATACACTACATTACATTACATTTAGGCTGCAGCTGGCTTTCTCTTTCTGTTATGTGTTTGCATTCTGTGTGCCATGCCTGTGCTTACAGAGATGAGTCCATCAGTGATTAACAGACGTCAAGGTCACTCTCTAAACTAAAAATCATTGTATATCATTGTGGAGGATATGAAAATAAAGTTGACTTAACTAATTATTGGACCCTCATCAGACTCTGAAATGAAAATACACTGATGAATCGAACATTCATTTCACTGAACTAAGCTGCTCATCACTAGTTTCAATGAACTGAACATCTGATTTAACAAATCGATTTGATTTTGACTGAAAGCAGGTGAAAGAGAACCAACCAGCACCTATATGCAAGTAATTAGTTATTAAAAGCTGTCCAGTGCATTTACAGCAAAGCAGCAATGCAATAAATGTACTACAAAATTCTAAAATAACAGTTTCCTAACTGACACAGCAGCATGTTTTGGCTGTGCCTGACTGAACTGGAGTTCAGAAGTTTAAAGAAGAAAACTGGCATGTTTACATGTTTATATGTTTACTCGATTTTACAGAGTTGGAAAAATTCCTTCTGATGATGCATCTTAAAGGTGGGGAAACTTGTTTTATTATTATTTATTTATTTGTCAGCTGGAGAATGCAGAAGGAAGTCAGATAGCTAACGATACTGCAGTGAAGCCAAATATGTTATTTGAGCCAAATTCATTGTCAAATCATCAATACACTGAAGAGAATGGATTACTCAAACAACAGAAATGACATAAAGGGAACGCTCGTAGACAAATTTTACAGTAATAACACTTCATAGGGTAAAGCAGGACAGTGGGTTGTTTTGGATTACTTCACTGGGTTTATACAGTAATTCTGATTCTGATTCCAGGTAGTCGCTACAGCGTGGCTATGTGGTTGCTATGGTATTCCATATGGTATTGTAACGTATTGTACTGCACTTATTGAAATGTATTGTATTGTATCGCGCTGTGTTTCTTTTTCTCTGGGTATCAACAGGGACTTTTTGTTTCTAGCAGTAGCTGAGCTCAGGACTGGCTTTCACTCTAACCTGTTGGTAACTAGCAAAGATACTTTCTCTAGATAGACAGAGCACTTTTTGTAAGTCGCTCTGGATAAGAGCGTCTGCTAAATGCTGTAAATGTATTCCACCTTCTTGTTAGGCCGTTGCTAACGTGTTGCTAGGCCATTGCTTTGGTATCCCAGGTGGTTGCTAAGGTGTTGCTATGATTTTCCAGGTGATTGTTAACGTGTTGCTAGGCCATTGCTATAGTATTCCAGGTGGTTGCTGAGGTGTTGGTAGGCCACTGCTTTGGTATCCCAGGTGGTTGCTTAGGTGTTGCTATGATTTCCCAGGTGGTTGTTAATGTGTTGCTAGGTCATTTCTATGGTTTCAATGCTAGTTGTTAAGGTGTTGCTAAAAAATTGCTATGGTATCACAGGTGGTTGCTAAAGTGTTGCTAGGCCATTGCTATGGTAACCCAGGTGATTGCTAAGGTGTTGCTAGGCTGTAGCTGAGATCTAAGCATTATATATGAGTGGAATGACCAGTTTTAGATTTCAGAAACACAAGGAACCTATTCAGGTAGAGGCTCTATGATCCTGTTCGTATGACCCTATAATCAAGTTTTGTAGCTGTAGCGACACAATTTTTTGACTGTAGAATAATAAAAAGAAGAAAACGAAGAACAGTAAGCAGCTTTTTCAAGCCAACTTATATAGTTTTGGGCCAAAACGCCCCTCAATCACCTTCTACCTTCTACTAGTTTTGTGAATTTCTCGACCTCTGTGAAATCATTTGATTGGTCACAAGTATTTTTGGGCGCGGAAAGAAACGTGACGTCATTTGTTTAAACTCTGACGGTTGCTCTGCAGAAGTGGCCGGCCGTTCATTTAAGTTTTGAACTGATAAAGCCGTTTTTAGTGTAAACATTACATAGCCTGGAAATGAGTATGCTAGGCTAAAATAACTGCTTAGCCAACAACTCCGAACTGTACTGTGGGCTACATCCTTCCGTTTGTTTAACAGAAAAAGATGCGTCCGCTGAACTAAAATCTCTTCAGTTTTTTGGCTCTATTTTTGAAGACCTCCGCTGGTTGACGTCAGCACAGCCCCCCCATGCCGCCCCCCCCCCTTCCTCCCTCCCCCCCACCTTCGTCTCCGTCTCCGTCTCCGTTCCTCAGCGCGCGCAGGGGGATCCAGATGCTCGCGCGCGTGCAGTGAGCAGCCCTGCAGACAGGAGCTCGGATCCCGGGGAACCTGCAGAACACGCGCACCAAATCCAAGGCGAGCCGCCGAGAAAGAGAGAGAGAGAGGCCAGAGGGCTGGATGTGCTCACACACGCACGCACACACGCGCACGCACACACACACACACATATGGTTGGTCGTTTGCATGCCAGCGCGCGCGCCGATGTCCTGGGAATAAAACTGCAGCAAATTGGGGAATAAGAGGACGCGAGCACCGCCGCCGCTGCTGAACGCATTTGCTCACTCCGCAACTGCTCTGGAGTAACGGGCACCGGGATGGATACGCAGCTCGGGGACTGAAGTGGACCTGCACCGCTTTCGCACCTTTTTTTCATTCCGGATTGTGTGGGTTTTGTTTTTTAATTTCTTTTTCCATCCGTTGCGTTACCGGTTCGGTCTGTCTGATTTTTCCAGGCTGCGCTTTTTTCATGTCGTCCGTTCTCCTCCAGTGTGTTCTGTCTTTATTTTATCTGACTGCTGCCTCGATGTTGGGAGGATTGATGGTGAGAAGATTCCGCGCTACTACGCTGCTGCTGCTGCTGAGAGAAAAATAGCCAAGCCGCTAAACTGAGCCGTGTCATGGAGGGCAAACTTCATTTGTATCTGCGAAACGAATCCGGGAATATCGAATAACTACTGCTGACAGAGAGCAGGTAATTCGCTCATTTTTATCTCCTTTTCACCTTCTTTCATGTTTAAATGCCATCAATCCGACCGTTTCCCACGAGGATGAAGTTGGCTTTCCTATTCGCCGGCTTCTTCTTCGAATTTCCCCGTTCCACCTTAAATCGTGCGGCAGTTTATTCTGGCGCCAGAATGTAACTGCTGCACCATTTAAGGTGGAACGGAAGCCGGCGAATAAGACTAAGAAGCCGACTTCGGCTTCGTTTTTTTCTGACTTCTCTCAGTTCAGTTTAACTGAAGTTTCGCTGGCGAGCTTTAGCTGATACCATCGCCATCTTTCATGGCATTTTGCTTCACATGTTTCACTGAAAGCTCAAGGTGTGTCGTCAACTGGAACCAAAGTGCCACGGCCATTTAAAACACGTTCACCTGCTGCAAAATCAATCTAACAATGTATTTAACGTTAGTTCTCCTCAGAAAGCTGAAACTAATGTCCAATCCCGAACTAAATCTAGGGGCTATGTCTACCCTCAACGCCGTGTAGCTGTCCGTCCTCGGAATTCTCCTCAGTTGATGTGCTTCTCTGACGCGCTGTTTTTTTCCCACCTATATTCCGGAAAGCCCCGCCTCACGCTCTAGGATTGGCTGATAGTTCATCCGCCAACCCGTGAATGAGAACTACTAGCCAATCGTAGCGCAGGAGGCGCGATGCTGCTAGCCAGTCGCTGCACGGGAGGCGGGTCTTGTGGGAAAACGGGTGGGAATAGAACGCCTCTCGTCAAGGTTTACTTCATTCGTGTCTTGTCTGGTGTTAACTTTGCGCAGTGTCTGCGTGTGGGGTTGAAAAACGGCTCTCACAGCCAAACCCTGTCAAGGAGGTCGAAGCTAAAGAGTAGCCTTGTAAATCAGGGCTAAACACGTTGATGTTGACTAAAACAAGGCTAAAATGAATAAAAATCAGAGGTGGCTGTTTTTGTAACATCAGCGTCGGCGCTTTTTGGCTGACACGACACGAGAATTCTCAGGATTTTCGCCTTTTTTCTTTATCTTCGCCTGTTATTTTACGTGAAATAAAGTGTTTTACGGCTAACACGTCGAACAGTGTTGGGTACTACTTGTGCTGCCTTGTCAGGTACATTAACTAATGTGCTATAGGCGATACAGCAGCTTAGCACTCGATGTTGTCGCTCGCTGTATAATGTATACGTATAATGGCTCACTTATAGCCAGTATAAGTATACATAGAATCATAGAAATATGATTTTGGGGGTATTTTTCAAGCGCTGTTCATGATCTGTCGCCCATCTGTTGAGCCTCAGCTGGAAAATGAAATGGATTTGTACGTGTGGGGGCTACGGTAACTTTACCGTATTCAATTCATGCTCTTTCGTCCAGATTTCGAAGCCTGTTGGTGAAGCACAGTGCGATATGGACGAGCTTTGCTTCCGTTTGGGCGTAACGCACTTTGCCTCTCTCCTCTGAGTGATGGAGCCCCCCACCCCACCCCTTCAACTCCCGTTAGGTTAAAACATGCATGGAGGTAGAGCTGGTGGTGAAAGAGGCGGTTAAACCCCCATCCAGAGGCATCCAGGGTCAACATGCTTGAGGTGCAGTGCGAGATGGAGCTGATTCATCTGCATCTGCCTTTGCGGTACAGTCTGCCCTGGTATGACTGGCATATGTGCAGCACCGAGTTAACATGAGCAGAAATATGGGCTAGATGCCGTGTGGCTCCATCGAAAATGCACGGCGCTCGCACTCCGAGGAAAGCTCCCACTAATGCATCTGTTGCCTCTGAAAGACCTGGAGGTGTTATCACTGGCTGTGCGCTTGCTGCAGAAGCCCGTAAGAGCGACCGATGCCCCTCGCCATCGCTCGCGTGCAATGGGCCATGTAGCAGTGCATATGGAGCACGAGCCAGGCAACAGCTTGGCCTTCCCTGGTTGAGTGGGCCTCGTCCCTGACCATGCCATTGTTTTTCCAAACAAAAAAAAACCCAGAAACTGAATGCTGATTTTCTTAACTAGCATACTGCATCGAATTTGTGTGGCAGGTGTAAATACAGAACATCATGCTCAGGCAGAGAGAGAAAGCGTGATATTTTAATTCCTGAAAGCAGTGTCAGTTTACATTGCGCTGGCGCAGGGAAGCCCTGGTGAGTAACGCTCCCTGACAAATGTGCTTTAGCCCCTCATCACTGCTTCACCATGCTTTACTGTCAGTCCTCCAGCGAAAGCCTCCTTATCTCTGATCACTCTGCTGGGCCCTCACTTCTACAATGGCTACTCAGGCAAATCACGTATTTGGAATGGCTTGGAAATGGATAGTTCGAGAGCAATAAATTGTTCATATTGTTATGCAATTTTACAGCTGTTACCTTGAGCAGCTTTGGATCTTCTCTGGGTCCCGATGTCAAAATCAGTAATCAGTTTATGTTGGTGGTTCTCAGGCCTCGAAACCAGCCAATAGTGCTGAAAGTGACCTAAAATGTTGCCCACATTCCAAAGCGAATGGGCTCTAGAAGCCTATGAATTGAAAAGAGACTTTGATTGCCCACTGATAAATGTATTCTTTTGCATTGGAGGGGAGAGCACTATAGAAAAGATCATAATGGCAACAGCTTGAGTCGTGCTATAAAAGAAGGGAGAATAAAGTCATAGTGCTGATGTGAGGGGATTGTCCCTAGAGTGTTTTTGTGTTTTTTTTTGTTTTTTTTTCGTCTGGGTCCCTTAGCCAGCCATTTGCTGCTGTCATCTCCTCTCCCTGTCCTCTGATGACTGTGGACGTGTACTAGCACACAGTGGTTTCAGCAAGAGGCCCAGCAGCAATATTTGCTTTTACGTAATGTTTTTCATTATGTTCATCCAAGAGAGAAAGTTAAAAACTCGAAGATTGTATTGATTCTTTGTCCCTAAGCCTCTGTTGTGTGGTACAGCAGAACTCCTGAGACTTTGAAGCGACATATTCTTGATGGCTTTTTTCCCTCGCTGCGCTCTCAAGGCTGAACATGATGTCTCATCTTGTGTTTGACTTTTAGCTGAGCATTTCACTTCTTGACAGCTCCATAATGTGGTACCAGAGGGACTTGATTCGCCATTTGAACATGGGGGCTTATATGGTTGGTGCATCTCTTGCTATTTATACTGTTTATTTATTTCAGTAGATGGCACTAATGGTGAAAGTTTGGTATTACACAAGAGTTACAAATGGTCCAGTCAGTCAAGGAGATGAAAAGAGCGCTTGGAAGGGATCACCGCTGGCCGGCAGATCCATGAATTTCAGTATTCACCTGCAGTTTCAAGTCATTTATTAATGTTGACTGATAATATAGTCCCCTCATGGAATAGACTATAACTAGACTGCAAAGGGAAAGTGGAATGTAAATGTCAAGGACTTTACCTCTGTAGCTCCCTCTCTAGTTTTCTTCACCTGTGTAAGTCCATCTTTGACCATCAGCCCTTTCTCTGGCAGTTGTGTTTTTTATTTGCATCCTGTTGATCAGATCTGTCCACTTACACCTTTTAGGTCTTTGTGGTCACTGTCTCTGGCACTTTTACAGGTCTTTATTTGAAACTTCCATTCAGTTCAGAGTTTCACGTTACCTAGCTAACTGATAGAATCACTAGATTAACATAAATGCTCACAAATAAATACTGATCATAGCTTTTAAAAATAGTTTAAAAAAAAATCTTACTTCTACACTCTCAGAAATTAAGGTATGAAACTGTGATTGGGGCAGTACCTCTCTTGACACTAGGGTGGTCCCTCAAGGGTACATCTCAGTACCTTTAGCCAGGGAACATAATTGTACCATAATCCATTGAAATTATATTCCAGTGGATTATGGTACAATTCTAACTATAAGTATTGACTCCACACACCCCGTCTCGTCTCCAGGCTTTTTATGTCATTGTTCTGTTTTAAAGCATTAGGTTATAAAAAAGGTACAAATATGTAATTTTCACCTGGAAAAACTTATTTAAGGGGCACAATTGGACCTTAAAACCACTGTTGTACCTTTGAGGGTTTATTTACATTGTTTGTATCTTGATGAACGAAAACTGAACCTGCACAGAACCTTTATTTCCAACAGTGTGGTATTAGTTTAAATTATTTCCATAAGACATTCTGTATCCCAGCAGTGATGCCAGCCAAGTGGCTTAAAAAGGCCAGTTTATAGCTAAAAAATATTCAATGAAAAAGACAAAAGTATCAAATATGCTGGTAGAGATTATTCCTACTCTTGGTGCTTGTAACGTATTCTATTAATGTGCCTTCAACTGCTAAACATTAAGTTATAATTCAGTTACCAAGCAGCACAAATTATCAGAGTATCCTCCTTACCTTGCACAATAAATAATTCACCACCTTTCACAGCCTGCAGTGCCAGGCACAGTATAGCATTAAAAATTTACTTCTTTTAATGTTCATGCTGTTTGAATCAGTGATAGGCTATCACTATTGATTTTATAGTACTCTTTAAGAATTACGGTAGTTTGTACATAATGAAGTAATAGCCAGTGTATTGTTTCCATTATGTTGTATGCTTTATCCTTACATCGTCACTCTGTTGATCAAGTTCGTCCCCTTTTTGCTGCAGTCACAGTCTCTACTTTTCTTGAAAGGCCTTACACTAGATGCTGGAACATTGCTCTGAGGGTTTGATTGCATTCAGTTCACAAGAGCGAGGTCAGTTATTGATGTTGAATGGTTAGTTCTGGATCACAGACTCCACTCCAGCTCATCCCAAAGATGTTGGATGGAGCTCCTCCTCTAGAGAATGCAGTTCCATTGCTCCACATCCCAGTGCCTGGGGGATTTATACCATTGGATTTGGGCATAGTGACCTTTGACTCATGTTCAGCTGCTTTAGAATGTGCCATTCATTGCTTTTCTAAGGAGATTATACAAACTGTGTATGTGAAATTGAACGTGTCTTCAATCTTTTGGATAAAGTTTGTCATAATGTAGTGAAAATGTGAGAATTTATGTCTTTCCTAGCTGTCAATTTAATGTAGGTAGACGTTAT